ACACATCGACGTGAAGTATCACATTATCAAAGAATAGGCAGAGGATGACAAGATAAGTTGGATGAAAGTACAAATGGAAAATAATGCAACCAATATATTAACAAAGTCAGTGACTACACAGAAGTTCAAACATTGCTTGAGCTTGATCAATCTTTCACACTATTAAAGATTGACGAGGTATTCCACAGCATGGGGATAGGCATCTCAAATTGAGATACGGGCCTAATATTTCAGGTGGAGTTTATGAAATTTTCGCTAAGATGGAGATTTGTTGGCAATGGCTCAAATTTTTGTTTTGATTGATTTGGTGACATCATTGCTAAAAAGAAATATTTTGATTGATTAACTGACATCACTGCTAAAAGCTTATTGGATGATACAAGTGGAGTAATTTCATTGCTTGAATGAGATGAGAGTTCCTTTATAATTGGTTAGATGATGTTATTGCTACAATTTGATTGGAAAATACAAGTGAAGCAATTTCATTGCTTGAATGAGAATAGAGTTCATTTGTAATTGGTTAGATGATGTCATTGCTAAAATCTTATTTGAGGATATAAGTCGACCAATTAAATGCATTGCTTAAATGCAAAGAAGTTCATCTTCCACCACATTGAGGTGCCTATAAATAGGCATGGATCTCTTGGTTTTGAGATTTTTTCGGAAAGGGAGAATTACACCCAGACCCCCTAAGGTTTGTCACTTAATCACTCAGACCCCCTGACATTTAAAATATTACACATACCCCCTGAGGTTTGTCCGTGCGTAACATTTAGACCCCTGTTGTAAATATATCCGTTAATAAATTATACTTAGACTCCCCAAAGGTTTGTAGGTATATAATACTTAGACCCGTTAAGTTTAAAATATTATACTTAGACAAAAAATACTCCAATCAAATATAAAATATCAAATGTTTTAAATTTTATAACTAAAATTCATGTTCTATTGTATCATTTATTGAAATAAAAATAAAAATAAAAATTTAATTTTTTCTTAAAAAAATCGTAATTAGTATACAATTATACTATTTATTAGAATAAAACTATAAAAATAAATAATGGATCTAAGTCATTCATAATAGAACATGAATTTTACATCCAAAATTCATGTTCTATTTTTTCATTTATTGAAATAAAATCAAAAAATAAAAAATATTTTTTTTAAAAAAAACATAGTTAGTATATATTTATACTGTCTAATAGAAACTAAAAAATTAAATAAGGAATCAAACTGTAATGGACACAACATCTTTTAGATTTAATTGAGATAGTTTGGTATTTTAATTTGGTCGTTTAAACAACAAAATTAAATTCTAATAAACAATATAATTGTATCTAATTACAATTTTTTAAGAAAAATTGAATTTTTATTTTGATTTTATTTCAATAAATTATACAATAGAACATGAATATTGGTTGTAAAATTTAAAATATTTGATATTTGATATTTCATTCGACTATTTTTGGTCTAATTATAATATTTTAAACTTAAAGGGTCTAAATATTATATACCCACAAATTTTAGGGGGTCTAAGTGTAATTTATTAACCTATATATATACAACAGGTGTCTAAGTGTTATGCGCATACAAATCTCAGGGGGTCTGTGTGTAATATTTCAAATGTCAAGGGGTCTGAGTGATTAAGTGACAAATCTCAAGGGGTCTAGGTGTAATTCTCCCTTTCGAAAATTGTATTTGTTCAATTTTCATTCTCTTGTTGAGAGTACAAGAAATTTTCTTTAGTGAGGGTTTGAGAGGGTAAGGTTGAGTGGGCTGTACAAGGGGTTAAGGGCTTGTGTTTGAGATTTAAACTTAAGTGGTGAGATTTGTACCATTATACTTATTTTCTCTCAATAGTAAAAAAAAGGAGACCGGATCGTGCCTCATGAACGTAGGCAAATCAATTTTGTCGAACCACGTAAATCTTAATGTTGTGAGTTGTGCTTTGATTTTTTTTATTCTGCTTATTTATTTTTTTGTTGTTGTACTGACCAAATTGCTACGAAGTTAACTCCCAACAATATATATATACTGACCAAATTGCTACGAAGTTAACTCCCAACAATATATATATATACGGGATTTTTATAATAGTGTCGTGTCATTTCAGTTTCTTGCCACGCTAGGGTCACACTTGTATTGATAAAAAATTATTTGATTCTGTCTCAATTCATAAAATAGTAGATTAATAAATAAGTACATCACTCCCCTTGTTTTTTTTTTCTTGATAATACAAGTGAAGTTGTTGTTCATGTCTAACAATTGGTTGATTTATTCTCCATGCTACAATTACACCTTAGCATATTCTGGCTCTTATCTTGACTTTAGGTATTGGGAAATTCTACTAAAAAAATTTCGTACCATACTGCTGATTACCATTTTGTAAGGGTAAAGTTAAAACTTTGAAAAGAGAGTTACAATGGCTCAAGAGACTAAGATCATGAAAATCTCGGTATCGATCACAATCTTTTATGATCGATCATACCTTTTAAAATTGTTACTTACACCTCAAATAAATTATACCTTAATCTTAAAAAATTATAATTTTAAGTATGATACTGTCGACAATACGGTGACTTTTCCCTTAAATATTTTTTTTTTCTCTCCACATGGGCTTCCAAACTTTTACAGGACAATTTTTCATCTCTTAGAACATTGTTGATTACCTGGAAACCTCAGCCAGTTCCATTTGGTGAAGTGATTGGACCTGGTTATACTCCAACTTAGCTAGTTCCAGAAGGGTTGAATTGTGGTCGCTTTCTCTGCTGTACTCTTCAATGTACCTTCTAGCTTCTAACCTTGCCATCCTCAAGTGCCTTGGAAGCTCTAAAGACTGGAGGACCTGTCTCCGGAGTTGGGGTGCCATTTGTAAAACTCATAATTTTAGGTGGACTTTAGTGAATTTCAATTTCCATGGCCTTTGATAATACATCTTCACCTTTTACACCCAAGTAAGATGCTTCATATAGGCTTAACATACCCAATGTGTCTTCGCTCAACAATTCCTTGAATTCACCATTCTTGTCCATGAGTTTTGAAAGACATCTGTCAAATAGCTCGAAGAAGACAAACAAATGATTTAACTAGCCCAGCTGATTTACAAACATAATTCGAATAATGTTGTATATATAAGATCACTTGTGGTGGGAAACATATATGATATAGGAAACATGTACGGTCACTAATCTCTCAATACACATTGTATATATATTCAATTGAATTAAAGTTCTTGTGCACGATGATTTTCACACAATAAATAAATAAAAAGGATAGATCTCTCTTTTGGCGTACACGGGATTTACGTGAAAGTTGAGGATCTCGAAGCAACAAGAAGTGAGAAAGATACTAAGGAGTGGTGATGAATAACTTTTTCGACAGTCTGCGCGATCATGGTGTGTTGAAATGAATTATGCCACTCAAAAAAGAGAGTTCGAAGGGTGCCATAATGTTTTTCGGCCTGATCCCTCCAACGATCAAGTTAGTACATGAGAGAGAGTAGGAAGAACATTGTTTTATTGCTTGAATCAGAGTTACGTACCTTTGCCTTACATTTGTGAGAGCTATTTATATCTTCATGAAGGTAATCATTATAGACAGGTGGGTCCCTTGGAGAGGAAGTCCTTTATTGGTCCCTTTGGATGGCAGCATGTGGAGGATAACCCTTGGGTAAAGTGTCTTCCTTGTCAGATGAAAAGAAGCTTCAACATTTAATTCTCGAGCCCCCGAGCAGTTAATGCACTCCCCCCCAGATTCCGCTGAGCAATAAATGTGTCTCATCCTTTTGATGAATCATTTAATGTCCATCATTGTGGCTACACATGTGCTGGGGCATTTGCGTCCTTTGCCCCTCCAGGAGGTTATGTCATATGGACTTCGTATTTCATGGACTCTCTCTATTGGTCACCAAATAGTCTACCTTGTCATTCTGATTACCTTGAGAAGAGGGTTTGATGATTACAAGCCACCTATTCCTCTGAAGTGGTGACGTTATTCTTGCCTTCTCTAAGAACTTAACCATTTGGCATAGCCCAAGTCCCAAGGTGGTCGTCATTACCTCGGCGGAATGGAGGACCCGACACCGAGGAAACGTGTCGGATGGAGGTTTCCTTAGGAAACTTTGGGAGCCGAGGACATGTGTCACGTGATGAAGACTCCGATGTGTCTTTAGTGCCAAGGACACGTGTCACTCGCAGGAATCTCCAAGGTGCCTTTAACACCGAGGTGACATGTCATGTGGAGAGTGCTCCGCGGACAAGATTTAATTAATTGGGTGAGAATTTTTAAAACGAAATTTAATTTTCGGTATCCATTAGATTGAACTGGTTTGGATTTTTGCTTCTCTCCAGTTCCAAAATTGAGTTGTGTATGTTCATATAGAACAGTTACACAAGTGGTGTCTACTGATTTTGGGTTGTGTCTTTTAGTATGGTGGCTATCCGAAAAGTCACCAAAGTGTCTACAAATACCCAGGCTCATTACCATTCTACATTCATTCATTCATCAGTCCATTTTTGGCATTAAGGCAGACATTATTGCATTGCATTTCAGCATTAAGGCAGTCTACATTTTGGAGAGTACATAACATAATTTCTAGTTCACTAGACGATTAGATTGGAGTACTACTTCTACTCGTGTGAAGATCATTGTATCCAAGGAGGCAGATGCTTGATATTCCATAAACATCGTGTGTGGGGGTGAAGTCTATCTTAAGGACATTGTGTCAAACACTAGCCTTGATCTACTTCAAATTCTGTTCTACAAACAAGTTAGTATTTATATTGGTTTGACAAACAGTTACGTATAACTGTTTCGGTAAGACTGTTGTAACTGTTTCGTTAATTCTTCTGTAACTATTTCTGTATTTTGTGTAATTGTTTCGCTCTAGCTTGTTACTATTTTTTTATACATTACATATTTCAAATCAAAAATTTCACTAAGTAATTTTACTATATTTGGAATACCACAAACAACACATTTTTCACTTCGGTAACATATTATTATCCCAAAATCAAACATGGTGTGGAGTTTGTACCGGTAGAGATTTGGTAACCATAGTGTCGGAGCAACCGAAAGTGTAGAGCAATGGCTAAGAGATCTTCATCGGGGTGTCCATCTGAAAACCCTTTCAATAATGCATTGATCTCGTCTTCGAAATTGTACCCTATTCCCAGTCGTTGAAATGTATCTATCAACTTCATCGTCTCCATGGGCACTGTAATTCTCCGCAATGCTTGATGAGTTCGTTCCCTCAATTCTATAATTTTTGTGTCGTTATCAACTTCAGTAAGAATCACCTATCATACCACTGTAGCATAAAACATTGTTAGAATATGTGTATGGGTATGAGAGAGAGAGAGAGAGAGAGAGAAAGAAAGAGGGAGAGAGAGAGAGTGGGAGATTGAATGGTTAACTTTGAAGTATAAAAATACTAATGATAATGCTAGATTAACTTAAAAATGAAACCAAATAATATAACACTACCACAATAAACAAAACTCAAATTTTAAATGCATGAAAATGAAACTAAAAGTACCACTATATATGTCGGTGCCACTATACTGGTGATGTTATCCACCATCCCACTGTCGGCGACTTACATCACGTTGAACCTGCGGGTTACACTTTTGCCGAATGCATGCATGGCAATTCCGAGACCATGCAATAGAAGTCTATGGGCGATTGTAATGGAGATCAAACTCAGCCGGCAATCTCCGGCGTAGCATTGGCCGCCCCCACTGGTGCATGCACAGAGAGTCACCGGCGCAAAGGCAAGGAGGTTTTAGTTGATAATTCAATGCAAATGGAAATGGCCAATGGGAATGTTCCATGTGGCCAAGTTAGTTTCTTAACTTTAGCTCAATCACTTGATATGCGGCCAGCTAATTTATCTCCTATTTTGAATGTTGCCGAACCTAGACATTATGTAGAACCAAGTGCACAAAAAAAAAATTACATGTAGATATTTTGTTGCTACACGTGAGGATATGCATGATAATGGGGATTGTTTGAATTTTTGCCCTAAAAATGGAAATGTTGTGCATGATTTATCCAGTAAACATGTGCCCCATTTTGCTACCAATCCGCCCACAAGTGATACCACATGCCAGCCCCATCATTCTCAAGATAAGCAAACCAGGCCCATCTCTCAATTTGCTCATCCCATCATCAAACCCGGCCTACTTCCTACAACTAATACCATTCGCCAGCCTCCTCAAGCTAAACTTGGTGTTCCTAAACCAACTGTACCCACCACCCTTAATTCTTGGACTCGACCCCCCGATTTTTCCTTGGACCCAACTCGACCACACAAGTCATTCATAGACGTTTTGAGGGGATTCGCCACCCCCGACTTTGATGCCACCACTCATCGAGTTTTTTACCCTGTCACACAGTACACGGGTGCCTCGGTAGTTGACTTCTCCGATGAGGAGATTGAGAGTCTCGCAGCTCCTTTTAGGTTGGCCCTGGTGGGCAAGTTTATCCGAGGCCGCCCTTCGATGGAAATGATCAGGAAATTCCTTCAGCTAATTGGATTGAAGGAGCAGGTTAATGCCTCTTTGTTAGATAGCTGACACGTACTCCTGATGTGCGACCTTGAGGAGGATTACACCCGTCTCTGGCTAAAGTAGGCTGGGTTGATTTATAACAAAGAGATGTGCATGTTCAAGTGGACTCCACAATTTCGTTGTACCGAGGAGTCGCCTATAGTTCCTATATGGGTTTCATTCCCATATCTACCAATTCACTTTGTGCACTCCCAGGATGCATTATTCTCGATAGCCTCAGCGATTGGGACACCTTTACGGGTTGATTAGGCCACAACAAGTTTGAGCTGGCCTTCAGTTGTCAGGGTGCTGGTTGAGTCTGATGTCACATGGAGGCGGGTGCCGAGGATTAGGATAGGCAGACAGGAGACCGAATTTTGGTAGGATGTTCTCTATGAGGATGTACCACAATATTGTACTAGGTATCGGCATTTAGGTCATTCAGTAGAGACCTACATCACCCACTCCCAGGCCTAGAAGGAGGTCAGTGGAGACCAGTCATAGCAAGGTCGAGGTGATGGACAGTAGAGGACTAGACCACAAGAGGGAGCACCCATTCAGAAAGCCCTAACCCTTGCTGTTCCTCCTAGGAATACCGAGTAGGTTAGAGTATATGGGAGTGACAGATGCTGTTACCGTTGTTCCTCCCCCTAAGGCCAGAGTTGCTATCATTGTGGAGTCTGCCTCAATTGCTCTTGTCTAGATTGTTGTTGAGCCGTGTACTGTGGGTGAGCCAATGGTTGTGGTCAGTTCGAATATTATCCCTGCTAGTGATGTGCAGGAACAGAGTTGTGCCCTGATCCTTCAGTTAACATAATTTTTGAGCTGGTCCATGATGGACTTGTGACTACCCTAGCCATTCATCCGACTATTCGTGAGTTTCGAGAGGTTCAGAGTCCCCTGGTTGTGTCATTTTCTAATGATACTAGTTTGAGGCACAGAGATAAGGGTGTTGGGACTTTTAATCGGCCCACGAATTGTACCACCTCGGCTGATATTCCTCTTAACCCTAGATTGTACTCTACTAGGATTGAAAGCCACTCTACTAGAGATATATCATCTGATGAGTACTTCGGTAGTGATGTTGGATCCTTTTCTAACCTGCATGAGGGCTTTTCCCTAGCCTGGAGGAGCTTTAGTGCCTTATGATGCCTCACAGTCTGGTTGGTAGGTCTCGTTGCATAGATCTCAACGTATTGGTAGGAGAGGTCGAGCAAACACAAGAGGTAGAGGTGGAAAGCCTGGGGCGAGGGACGCTTAGTGTGGTTCTTCCACTCCTTTTCAATGATTAGGATGCTCATATGGAACATCAGAGGGATTAGCAAGGCCTATTCGATTAGAAGGCTTAGAAAGTTGATCTGCTCACACAACTTATCGATGTTCTATATTTTGGAGTCTTTTGTTGACCGAGATTGGTTGGAGTCTTTTCGGATTCATTTGCACATGGAGCACAATTTTTGTTCTATTTCGGGGAAGATTTGGATCTTTTGGTCTTTGTCTTTTCGGTTGAATGTTCTTCAAGATGATGGTCAGGTGGTTCACTGCCAGGTGCGACATTCTTCTTTACCGGATCCAGTTTTTATTTTTTTGGTGTATTCCAATTGCGTAGCTTCTATTCGGCAAGGTTTGTGGGATGCCTTGACACAGTTTGCGAGCATTCATGATGGTTCGTGGATGGTTGGTGGCGATTTCAACGTTATTGAGTCCCATTCTGAGATCCAGGGGGGTCATACTCAGTCTCAATCTTAGTCTGCTATTGATGTCTCTTCCCTAGCTTTATTGTCTAGTGGTTTGGAGGATGATGGGTTTGAGGGTACTCCATTCACATGGACGAATGGACGTACCTAGAGGAGATTGGATAGAGTAGTGGTGAATGCTCAGTGGAGTTCTTATTTTTGCATGTTTTGGGTTATCCACCTGAACCAGACTTGTTGAGATCATTCACCACTGTTGATTTCTGGAGGTTAGCGTCAGAGCAAAGGGCCGAGCCGGTTTAAGTTTCTTCACACTTAGACCAGACACAGATATTTTTTGGAGGTTATGCGACAGAGCTAGACCCTTCCTGTGTTCGCTTCGGGGATGTCTGTGTTTCAATCAAAGCTTATTCAGTTGAAACAAAACTTGAAGGTCTAGAACAAGGAAATGTTCAATAAAGTGTTTCAACGATTTCAGGAGGCTGAGGCTGAGGTTAGTAGGAGACAAGTGGCACATGATCAATCAGGGTCTCCTTCAGATCGGGCTGCCGTTCATCAGGTCAGGGCTGAGTTACAACAAGCTTTATAGTGTGAGGAGTCCTTTATAAGACAACAATCTCGTGTCTGCAGGCTTCGAGAGGGGGATTTGAACACCCGCTTCTTTTCATGCTTCAGTGAGGAAGAAGCGGCATGTTCTTTCAGTCCATCAGATCTGGGGTGATGATGTAGAGTGGATTATTGAGCCTGGGCTATTAGTGTTTCAACAGTTTCCTTTTTTAAGGGATTGTTCTCTGTAGGGGCTGATCAAGTTAAGGTTTGTAGATTTTTTGGCTATTCCAGCCATTGTGACTGATGCAGATGATGTTGGGTTATGTTCTATGCCGACTTTGGAAGAAGTGAGACATGTCGTGTTCTCTATTGATTCTATGCGCCAGGATCGGATTGGTATTGCAGTCACTTTTATCAATTTTGTTGAGACATTGTGGGAACAGATTTGCTAGCTGCAGTTCAGGATTACTTCCAGGGTTCTCCTATGCCTCGAGGATTCATGAGCACGTTGGTGGTGCTTTTGCCCAAGAAGGAGTCACCTTTTACTTGGGCAAATTTTGGTCGATCAGTTTATGTAACGTGAGCAAAAAGGTGTTGATGAAGATTCTTGTTTCTTGTCTGTCATCTTTGTTGCCGCGTATCATATCACCGATGAAGAATGGATTTGTGCCCGACCGAGTGTTGCAGGACAGTGTTTTTTTGGCTCAAGAGTTGGTTCATGATTTGAGGAGAGGTTCCTGGGGGTGAGAATGTCGTGCTGAAGCTTGTTATGGCTAAGACATATGATAGGATGTCTTGGATATTCATTCTCTAGATGTTGCGNTGTAGAGTGGATTATTGAGCCTGGGCTATTAGTGTTTCAACAGTTTCCTTTTTTAAGGGATTGTTCTCTGTAGGGGCTGATCAAGTTAAGGTTTGTAGATTTTTTGGCTATTCCAGCCATTGTGACTGATGCAGATGATGTTGGGTTATGTTCTATGCCGACTTTGGAAGAAGTGAGACATGTCGTGTTCTCTATTGATTCTATGCGCCAGGATCGGATTGGTATTGCAGTCACTTTTATCAATTTTGTTGAGACATTGTGGGAACAGATTTGCTAGCTGCAGTTCAGGATTACTTCCAGGGTTCTCCTATGCCTCGAGGATTCATGAGCACGTTGGTGGTGCTTTTGCCCAAGAAGGAGTCACCTTTTACTTGGGCAAATTTTGGTCGATCAGTTTATGTAACGTGAGCAAAAAGGTGTTGATGAAGATTCTTGTTTCTTGTCTGTCATCTTTGTTGCCGCGTATCATATCACCGATGAAGAATGGATTTGTGCCCGACCGAGTGTTGCAGGACAGTGTTTTTTTGGCTCAAGAGTTGGTTCATGATTTGAGGAGAGGTTCCTGGGGGTGAGAATGTCGTGCTGAAGCTTGTTATGGCTAAGACATATGATAGGATGTCTTGGATATTCATTCTCTAGATGTTGCGGGCTTTTGGGTTCTTTGAGGGCTGGATTTCTTTGGTTCGGCAGACTATCTGGGGGGCGTGGTTTTCTATGATGGTGAATGGGGTCAGTCAGGGCTTTTTCTTGTCACAGGGGGGCTGCGACAGAGTGACCCCCTTTCTCCTTGTTTGTTCATCATTGCTGTAGAGTATCTCTCTCGAGGCTTGAACTCTTTGTATGCACGATTTCCGGGGGGTGGCTTATAACACTAGAGTTGGGGTTTTGGTTTCCCATTTGGCTTTTGCTGATGATATTATTATTTTTGCTAATGGGTATCGATTGAGCTTGCAGCGAGTTATGAATTTTCTTCATCACTAGGAAGCTACCTCTAGTCAGTTAGTTAGTCATGCCAGGAGCAGTTTCTATATCAGTTCGCTTGCCTCGTATTTTAGAGAGGTGATTGCACGACAAACCACTAGTTTTCAAAGGCGTGACCTTCCATTTATATATCTGGGGTGCCCTATCTAGTTAGGTCATCTCCAGATCTCGTACTTTGATGAGATGATTCGGAAAGTGCGCGAGCAGATTTTTGGATAGGCGAATCTCTTGCTTTCCTTTGGAGGTAAGCTCACTTTGATTCGTCATGTGCTCGTGTCGATGCCTATTCACTTATTTCACGTGTTAAGGCCTCCTGTAGATGTTTTTCACCAGTTAGAGACGATTTTCACTCATTTCTTGTAGGGTGACACACCTACTCATCGAAGGATTCACTGGTGTCACTGGGCTGAGGTATGTTACCCTGTAGAGAAGGGCGGCTTAGGGGTGCGTTCTTTTTTTGACTTAGTCAAGGCTTGTGAGGTGAAGCTTTGGTGGAGTTTTTGAGCTCAACAGTCACTTTGGCCCACTTTTATGAGGGCCAAGTACTATAGGTTCACCCATCCTGAGCTGATTGAGTTTCGTTACCCAGTTTCACTTTTTTAGAGGCGGTTGTGTGGGATTCGATCCATGGCTGAGCTAAGAATCAGATGGTTAGTACGGTTCGTTAAGGTCAATTTCTGGTATGGTTGTTGGTTGGGGGATTACCCGTTGGCTTTAGTGTGTCCAAGGGCAGCTTTTGGGGTTCCTGTTTCTGCTTACTGGGCTGGTCGGCAATGGGATAAAGGGCGATTGTTAGGGATTTTGCTTTCTTCAGTTGTTGAGCAAATTGTGCAGATTTCGATTCCGGATCAGAGGGTTGATCAAATGAGATGGAGTTTGTCTTTGGATGGAAATTTTTCCTTGAGGTCTACTTGGCCTGATATTCTGGGAGTGGCTCCAGTTTAGGTTAGGTTTTCTTGTATCTGGCAGAAGCATATTCCGTCTCAAGTCTCCTTCTTTTATGTGACGGTTGTTTCATGGTTTCCTGGCCACAGATAATGGCTTAGAGATACAGGATTTCCATGTAGTATCCCAGTGTGTGGTGGGACTATTGAGACTCTTAGGCATCTTTTTCTAGATTGTCCGCTTACAGTTCAAGTGTGGGATCACTTTTATCGGCTGTTTTGGATCAAATGTTGGTTGTTTCAGTCTCCTTATGCTTTGATGCTTTGTTGGCGGCATTGTGCTCCTTCTGTAGGTCACGTGTGGGTACTGTTACCGTGTTTTATTCTGTGGCACCTATGGAAGGCACGTAATGCTTATAGGTTTGATGGTCAGGCCTTTGAGGTGTCCGTTGTGGTCTAAAGGATTATGGCTGATATGCAATTGGTTGAGCTTGTTTTTGGGTTTGCACTAAGTCAGTTGTGTCGGGATGAGTCGGTTGAGTTTATGGGTTCTCTTAGGGTCTTGGTTCCTCGGCCTCGGCCTCTTCGTTTGGTTGCTTGGACTCGTCCTGTAGCGGGTTGCCTAAAAATCAGTGTTGACAGTTGTTCTAAAGGCAATTCAAGACTATCTGCAGCAAGGGGTGTAATTCGGGACCAACAGAGTCTGTGTGCTTCTCTCTCGGCTTGCATGTGCCACGTCCTGCGGGAGGCGAATCTGGTTGTAGGCTTCATGGCTAATTGGGCTTGCTCTCAGCAGCTCAATCAACAATTTCCTGATTCGTCTTCCCTTCCTTCTGGGATTGTTGTTATCCTCGTCTTAGACGCTCAACAGACTCCTCACGTTCGTCAGTCAGGTTTTTATTTTCATTTATGTTTTTAATTATTTTATTTTGTGGGGAGTCCCCACTTTGCTTTTTTGTTTATTTATTTTTCATGTATTTAGTGGTGAGTAACCACTTTGATTTTGCTTTGACTTTTTCCGTCTCACTTTGTACTTCTGGAAGCTTGGTTCTATGTCCTCCTCCCTAATACCTTTTTCTTTTTTAGTTATATATATAGGCACGAGTCTTGTCAAACCCCTCACCAACACTGGGTGGCTTTGAATGAAAAAAAAGTAGCCCAGAGGCGAGGGCTGCATTGCAATATATACATTACAATTAAGTTTTTGTATGACGGGTTGGTGCAGATACGTGAGGAGAACATCATTGTCTCGGATAAACAGTGTTGCCATGAACGTCGTTGTCATGGGTGCCGACTTTGGTGACGACGTGCACATGCAGAAGCGTGAGCTTGCAGAAGGGGCAGGGCAGAGCAGCAACGAACAACTTCTTCTTGGAACCCCAAGTGCACCACCAGACACCACCCAAGACTCTGATGGTGAAGAAATATTACACCTTATAAAAGCCATTTCAATTACAGTTAGATTTTTCTGTATTGAAGAGGGTTTTTTTCTAAGTTATGGTGCAATATTAGCATAGATTGACTATAGTTATGGGCGCTTTCTAAGCAGCCTGATATATAAGTTATGCTCTGCAATTAACAAACAAAAACATTAAAAAGAAAACTACACAAACAAAAGTAACATGTACAATGACACCCTCCATTTTTATATTATGCTATTTGCGCCCTCCAAATATTCCTCATCAACACCCCCCCTCCCATCCACCCACTGACCGCACCAATTAAGTTGTTAACATGAAATCACTAAGCTCAATTACCCTATTAACGACTAAGTTCATCTCAATTTACATCACCTAGTTAACATATCAAATATATATTATTAACACCCGTCTCTCGAACATAGGCTATGCGCACCCCCAATATTATTTGTACCCTCATATATCAACCATAAACTATTTCCACTCTATATTTTCTCACTCCATACACTATATTCACCCCCTCCTTTTCTATTCCTTTAGTTTTTTTTTCTTTTTTAAATTTTTTTTTTAATAAACTACACATATGACCCTCAAATTATGACCCTTGTTTTAATTAAGCCTTAGACTTTTATTGTGTCAATTGAACTCCTAAACTTTCTAATTATGTCAATTGAGCTCTTATCGACATATAACATATTCAATTTGTTTTTAGGTATATTTGGTGGGAGGTTCACATGGAGTGATTTATTTGGCTTTGAGTCCAATCACAANGACAAGTTAAAGTTGACTTTTAAATATCCTCTTACACTTGGAACAGGACCAAGACCAAACATGAATACATATGTCGGTCTGAAAATTGTCAATGATGAACTAATTACTTCTATGGTTAATATGGTTCTTGACAACCCCACTANTGGTTATTTAAATGACAAAAAAAAAGAGATTGCTTAAAAATCTACACAATTATTCAATTTTTATATTTACTACCACTACCTTCATCATTTCAACACGTTGTCGCTGAGCTGTTGACCCATATCAAGACTTTTTTAAAAAAAAATTCCCAACTTAGGGTTGGTTTAAAAATGATTCTCAAACCCATGAAGTTTTAAAAACGTCATTTGGTTTGACGTTTTTCAGCCAAAAGACATCAGTTGGTCTGACGTTTTTAGCTTAAAAACGTTAGACCAAATGACGTTTTTAAGGTTGATTTGTGGACAGTATGGAGCATAAAAACGTCAGTCCAATTGACGCGATTAAGTAAAAACGTCAGTTGCAATGACGTGTTTAACTCAAACCTGATGATCCCTTTTTCCCTCCAGCCTTATTTCTTTTCCTTATTTTCTCTTCTTCCCCTGAAATCCCATTTGAGCCCTAACTCACTCAAGCGAACCACCACCATCACAACAGACACTCTGGCAACCATTGCAGCAGACACGCAGAACCACCACATTCGCAGCAGACACTCCGGCAACCATCACAGCAGACACGCAGAACCACCACCTTTCGCAGAACCTCCACCACCACAACACCACCCACCACCACGCAACCCTACCCACTACCACCCAACCATCAAAACCCCAAATTCAAGCTATTTTGTCAGCCTCCATTGCACCGTTGACAGCATCCACCAAATCCGGTGAGAATTCTTAGATTATTTAAAGAAAAATATTGAAATTATATGAAATGATAGAAATATTGAAATTCTATGAAAATATTTATGATTGAATTGAGTTGATTATTGATTGAGTTATTGAGTTGGGTATTGAGTAGATTATAGATTATTGATTATTGATTATTGAGTTGATTATTGAATTGGGTATTGAGTAGATTATAGATTATTGATTATTCATGATTGATTATTGACTTGATTATTTAATTGGGTATTTAGTAGATTATAAATTATTGGTTATTGATTATCGATTATTTAGTAGATTATTGATTATTGATTATTGAGTTGATTATTTAATTGAGAGCTTTTGACCCATGCCAAGGTGTTTTGAAAAAAAGTCCCAAATAATGGACTGTTTGAAAATAATTTCCAAACACAAGTAATTTTAAAAATGTCAGTTGGTCTGATGTTTTTAGGAAATAATATTTTTTGTACAAGATTGTGGCACATTTACACCTAAATATTTGATGTTTTAGCTAAAAGCGACAATTGTACTGACGTTTTTAGCTATTCCCTCATACTGCAAAAAGGTTTGAATAAATTACACTCACACCCCCTGATATTTAATTTTATTACAAGGATACCCCCTCACATTTCAAAAAATATACTGAGATCCCTTGAAGTTTGAACACGTTTGACAGTTGCACCCCTTTTGGTATAATAGACGTTTACAATTTCATTAAAAAGACTTTTTTACCCCTCATATATCCTTGAGATTTACCAATGCCCATATACAATCTGTTCAACTCACCTCTCTATTTGCCTAAGTCAAAATAATTAAATTGAAAAAAAATTAATGTTTCCTACATTCTAGTTAAGTTAATTTTACCTTTTCAAAAAGAAAAAATCAAATTTATCTTTTCAATAATAAGTTAATTTTTTTGTTTTGGTCAATCCAATGATCATCATCTGCCACTCCAAGTCAACCGATTCTCACCACCACCACCACTATTATTATTATTATTATTTTGGGGGTGATAACATGAGATTGGAACCCAAAATTACCTATAGGCAGGAGTGAGGCCAAGGTCTCACCTCTGTGTACCCTCTTTCTTAGGCCCCTCTCTCTAAAATATGTTTCACGGGTTACCAATATAATTATAGTTGTCAAGGAAAAATGAAAGAATTTTTCCTACTAAACAATGAAATGCATACCAATAGATCCTTGTCCTAGATTTTGGGTTGCTATATAAACAACTTTTAACTTTTTATGTATTTTTTAAGTTCTATTACAAACTCATTCATTCCTTTGTAATTCCTTTGTTAAAAATTCATTCATACTTTTTTCAACTTATGTTATAAACTCATTCATTCATTTGTTTGAGAATTGGATCATTCTTTTCTATTAATTTCAGTTTGCTTCAATCTCACTTCTGGTACGTACTCATTCATTCCGTCCTCATTATGTTCTATCTAATTCAACATCTATACGATACTGATATTTGACTTTATCGTATTAAACATATTCTATGTCTCTATCAATCTCAATCGAAGCAGTGTAGTTATGTTGCTTAAATATCAAGCAACACATTTTTCTGCAAAATAAGTATGTTGATTAATGCAATAATGTCACTGAAATATTGTAAGACAATTACTACCTTGTTAGCCAAAAATATTGGCTACATTGTTTGCCTGCTTGATAACATATTGAACTTGTGATTCAATACATGGTAACATGTTTCAGAGATACCCTTTGTTGGGACTCTGTTGAAATATGGATATGTTTTTCCTCAAGTAATAACCGTTTCTATCCATCTCTAGGTTCTTCAGAATTCAAAACTTAGTCCACAAGGAAAACTAACTGAAATGGCTGAAAAATAAGTTATCGTTTTGCTATATTGGGGTGGACGAATGAGTTATGGGTTCGAGGGTTTATCATACAGTTGTCATCCCAAAGGTGGTATTGTTATCAATAGTGGTACACAACTGCCAAAATTGTTGAGTAAAATTTACACTATAATGGGGTTGGACAGGGTGCATGACAAGTTAAAGTTGACTTTTAAATATCCTCTTACACTTGGAACAGGACCAAGACCAAACATGAATACATATGTCGGTCTGAAAATTGTCAATGATGAACTAATTACTTCTATGGTTAATATGGTTCTTGACAACCCCACTATTTCTAGTGTTATTTTGTACGTTGAGACAGAGGACATCAATACTAGCATAGGCAGTAATCAGACCGGGGGTTGCATAACAACAGCTGTCATGTCTTACACTGAGTTACTTATACGAGAGATGGGTCCATTGACATTTCCAACTTCTGGTGTGATGGGTGATGTTAAACTCCCGTGGGGATGCAGGTAATGGATGAGTCTGAGTAGTAATTTTACACTCAACAAAGAACTGGAACTGCGACATACGGTGAGAACTCAGCCAACAATTCATTGAGTCAAAATTTTGAGGCGGGAATTGCGTTGGGTGAACAAGATGATGTCTATCAACCAATAATTCAACAAATGTCTTTCCGAGCATATAAAGAAATGTGTGTCAATGATCATACAGATGTCTCTGGTGATGATGACGAAGAAGAAGAGTTTGAGGAAGTATTGATTGATGAGACGGATGACGAAGATGAGAATGACGAAGACTTTGAGGCTGCTCAGGTGGTGGAGATGCATAAACCTTACTCTACCTCATTCACAACCACTGAATTTGGTCAGTATACTAAAGCAGATAGCTATGTATCGTTAGTTGAATAGAACTTGTGGGATCCGATGAAGATGGAGTTGGCGAAGGGCATGGTTTTTAAGGATAAAGCTTGATTGATTAGGGCTGTTAAATGGTATTCAATCAAGCTAAATTAGGATTTTTTTCGTGATCGAGACGAACACAACTATGTGGGTTATACACTGCATCATGTACATGCAGCCTAACTGCACGTGGAGACTGCGTGCTTGTTTTAGGAAAAAATTAAAAATATTTCAGATCATGAAATTTGATGAACCACATACCTACTTCTACCCTAGGATGAGTTGTGACCATCGGCAATCAGACTCTGACTTTATTTGTCATAATATATTGGGACTCGTGGGTGATACACCACAAACCAAAATGTCGACAATTCATAAGATAATAAAGGATAAGTTAAAGTTTGATATTTCCTATAAGAAAGCATAGATTTCTAGTAACAAAGCAATTGCTATGATTTTTGGTGATTGGGACTCGTCATATGACATGTTGCCAAAGTTTTTGGGTCCCATCAAGAAGTATAATCCTGGCTCCATTGTGAAGTGGTGGTACAACTCTGAAACTTCTAAATATAATATTTTTTTACGAGTATTTTGAGCATTCAAGGCCAACATTAAAGGGTTTAAATATTGTCGACCTGTTGTCAGTATTGATGGGACATTTCAGCGTGGAAAGTACAAGGAAAAACTGTTAGTGGCAACTGCTTTTGATTCTAATAAGCAGTTGTTCCCCATTG